GCCCTCTGAAGAGGGCTTCCAAGTTACGTTAGGGCTCTCAAGTAGATCGCAAGAGCAGGCAATATACTGTATAAGAAAGTCAATCTGGTACAGGGGGGGTCGCGATATAGTGCCATCTTTGTTAGTGCCAGCTCCGATATAGTGCTACCCTTCTGCGGGTGACACGAATTTTGAGCCAAAAACGAAGGGTCTCCAGAGAGGCAGTTGTATGGAGGTACTGCCCGAGAGCCGCTGCCACCGCAGAAAGATATTATGCAGTTGCTAAAACTCGATTAGAGACTATGGCGGAAAAAGGCAGGGTCGATGATGCAATTGGACATCTGCAAAAGTGTAGGCTGGCATTTATGGCTGCGAAAAAGGAGGAAGTCAATGCGACGGCTCGGCAGCTACTAATATCAGAAATGCTTGATTAGACCTTGAGTCTGTAGTGAAGATTCAAAGCCTGAATGATGACCTGCGAGCGGTCCTTCTGAGCAGTGATGCAAGGAAGTGGCTGCAAAAAGGCCGAAAATCTCATTATCCTACAGTGCCTGGTTCGATATAGAGCCGTTTTCGGCCCACTAACACAGGGTAGCACTATATCGCGACCCCCCCTGTACTGCAAATGACTGGATAAATGCGACGTTACAGACTACCACATCATTTGATGGATCTACAGCACCCACACATGTATTTTTCCGAATTTCATAGTGAAAAGCAGAGCACCTGATTATCGTGCAACTGAGGGGCGTTCTAGGTGTTTTTAAAAGTCGGAAATTTGGAAATCGGAAATTGTACAGCAGGGCACCGATTTCCAATTTCCATCTTGGATCCGGTCCAAAACATTTTGGAAACTTTTTACGGACACCCAATCATGTCGCACTCACGTGGTGAGGGTGACCCCACCGCGCCTTGCCCAAAATCGCAAAAAGCAGACAGTTGTCCTCCGGTAATTGGATCTACTATCTTTTAATCAAGCCGCGCTTTGGGGGAGGTGGTGATTCAGAGATGAACCCCACCGCGCCTGTAACACGATACATCTATTCATATTCAGGGTCACCCCAATTAGGGTGACCCCACCGCCAACAAAATTTCTCTACTAAAATTCCAACCACTAAAGTTTGGACCGATGGACTAAAGTTCGGACCGATGGAAGAAATTTTGAACCCCACCGCGCCACAATTTGTCCTAAAGTTTAGAATTTGGGAAGGATTCTTTTCCAAACCAAAATTATTTGGTCGAGATTTTTGTCCAAAGCGCCGTTTGGGCGAGCTTCGTTCTATAGTAACGGTACAGAAAACATCTGAATTTCATGTGCTTACAGCTCTACCAAAGCTCTTCCAAATGGCTTTGGGGCTGTTTTGACTGAAGTCCCATCAATAGTGTGGGACGCAAAAAGGAGTGTTGTGCAGCCTTCGCTCGTGGACATTTCCCATCTTCTCCCTCCTTCTCGTCTTCTGAGAAGTGCAGGCAATGGCTGAGGTGGTTACTAGGACTGATGACTCGGCAGTAAGAGTGAGGAAAAAGGGTAAGGGACTGGGGTGGTCAGACGAGGAGAGTCTTGCCCTGTGCGTTGCTGAGAGCGCAGTGTCTGAGAATGCCGCGAATTGAAAGCGTGGTGTACTTGCCGAGTTGATAATTCCCAAACAGGAGCCTACATATTATGGAGAGCGGGCAAGTGAAGAGCAAAAGTTGCCGCCAATTGTGGAACAGACGCGTGCAGTAGCTTGCTTCTTTGCGCCAAATGTATTTCTACGACATACTTGTAGCCTAATTGGGGTGACCCTGAATATGAATAGATGTATCGTGTTACAGGCGCGGTGGGGTTCATCTCTGAATCACCACCTCCCCCAAAGCGCGGCTTGATTAAAAGATAGTAGATCCAATTACCGGAGGACAACTGTCTGCTTTTTGCGATTTTGGGCAAGGCGCGGTGGGCTCACCCTTAGGCTACAAGTATGTCGTAGAAATACATTTGGCGCAAAGAAGCAAGCTACTGCACGCGTCTGTTCCACAATTGGCGGCAACTTTTGCTCGTCACTTGCCCGCTCTCCATAATATGTAGGCTCCTGTTTGGGAATTATCAACTCGGCAAGTACACCACGCTTTCAATTCCTATTATGGACTCTAGAACTGCGCTCTCAGCAACGCACAGGGCAAGATTCTCCTCGTCTGACCACCCCAGTCCCTTACCCTTTTTCCTCACTCTTACTGCCGAGTCATCAGTCCTAGTAACCACCTCAGCCATTGCCTGCACTTCTCAGAAGACGAGAAGGAGGGAGAAGATGGGAAATGTCCACGAGCGAAGGCTGCACAACACTCCTTTTTGCGTCCCACACTATTGATGGGACTTCAGTCAAAACAGCCCCAAAGCCATTTGGAAGAGCTTTGGTAGAGCTGTAAGCACATGAAATTCAGATGTTTTCTGTACCGTTACTATAGAACGAAGCTCGCCCAAACGGCGCTTTGGACAAAAATCTCGACCAAATAATTTTGGTTTGGAAAAGAATCCTTCCCAAATTCTAAACTTTAGGACAAATGGTGGCGCGGTGGGGTTCAAAATTTCTTCCATCGGTCCGAACTTTAGTCCATCGGTCCAAACTTTAGTGGTTGGAACTTTAGGACAGAAATTTTGTTGGCGGTGGGGTCACCCTGAGTATTAGGTTATAGGCTAGGCGTGCTCGTACAGTGTCGTTCCCTGCTTGAAAAGTCTATGTTGCTTTACTCTAGTCCGCGGACATCCGCAGTAAGAACCCATAAACTCGTCAGCGCTAGAACGAAACCCAATCAAGAACAAAAGCAATTAGACATAACAGCAAAACATACCAAACACTATAGAAGTAGACATGTGAGACCACCGAGGATATGAGGGGGGAAAGGGGGGAACTGGGAGAGGTGGGTGGGAGAAAAATAGACATGCCGAGGGGCGGCGGCGATCGCGGGGACCCTGGGCGCTGCGCTTATATGCCTCCGGTTCGCCGCGGTGCGACGCTCGGCTGACTGTAAGCCCCTTACACCCGCTCGCTACTCCTTGGTGGGTCTTCACCCGCATTCACCCTGGTGTACACGGACGCGAAGACCAAGTAGACCGGAGATGCGCTCATGCGGGACGCAGGTGCGCAAAGAACCACTCTGAGTCTGCGGTGACGACAATTCTACTGTCAAAATAAACCCCAAACATAGTCTCCGAAGTCCAGTCCAGCCTCTGCATTATCCAAACCTTGGTAAACTGGAGGTTGAGTAGTTCGTTGAACCCCCCGATGCGGCCGCTGTGGGATCCGTAGTAGTAGCCGTCGGGGGGTGACGCCTTAATCAGTAGCAAGGCACGTTCAATGCCCTGGGCGAGGTTCGCCGACCCGACGGGCTGTGCAGCGCGCAAATTGAACCAGCCCGCGCTGGGCGGGCGGACCGCCACCCACCGGCGAAAGAGATCATGCACCGCAGTCCCTGGCTCCCATGTAGGGGATGAGGGACACGACAGCAGGAGCGGGCGGCGCAGCGACTTCCCTTTGCGATGCGTGAGCCTTACGGCAAGGCATTGATCTGTGAGAGTGACGTCTGTGGTATCACAGCCCAGATTTGTAATTTGTACAGCACCCGCCGCCGCGGGTGCCTTACAGAAGCGCGACTACACGTGTGCCTTACAGGCGAATGGACTACACGTGTGCCTCCCAGGAGGACGAACTACACGTGGGCATTACAGGCCGATGACGCACTGTATACATTCTAGCCCGGAGGTTCTATATGACAAGGTAAAGAGGGTTGCCCTAATTATCGGTCACCCGCCCCAACTCGTCGGTCACCCCTAATTGCTTCTATAAATTCCCAAAAAATAAGATTCTTGTACACGTAAGGGGCCAAGTTTCAGTACTCGGACTATCTCATTGCTGATTATCTCTGAAAGTCGTGGATAGATTTAAAAACAAATCTTTCCAATCGCTCTGCCAGAGCGTTTTACCATGACAAACCAACCCGCCACTTGGCAGGAATGCAAATTAAGTGCATTCAAATCCCTCCAAAAAGGCGGGCTTTAGCTGTTTGACCGAATCTTGCCAACCGAGCCCCTCATGGCCGCCCTCAACGCCCATTCAGATCTCATCCGAGCCCTTCACTCCAAGATGCATGCCGCTCTCCCGCGATTGCCTCGAACGCGGCAGGGCAGGCGACAGGCAGCCCTTGACATGGTGGCCGCCGGGTCTATGAGCATACGAAAGGCATCCAAGTGGAGCGGCATTGCATACTCCACCTTGCAATCTGCTGTGCAGTCCGGCAAAACAACTGCTAACTCTGTCGGTCGCCGCCTAGCTCTTAATAAAAGGGAGGAACTTATGATGGTTTCTCTGCTTACCAAGATGGCAGCCGGAGGTACTCCTCTGACTAATGACCACTTGGCCGATGCTGCCGCCATTATTGTTAATCACATGGTACTTCCGCGTCGTCTTCGTGTTCCCTTCAGGGATGGAAAGCCGGGACCAAAATGGCTCAGAGGCTTTCGGGCACGGCATCGTAACACATTGACATTCGCTAAACCAACCCGCCAGGAGGCATTGCGATTTGCTGCTTGCAGCGCCGAAATACTAACATCTCACTTTGCAAAACTCGAACGCCTTATTGCCGACAACAACATAGACGCGCAACGCTTGTTTAACTTAGATGAGTGCGGCATCACACCAGGTCGGGACCTAGCTTCTAAAACGCAGTGTAAGCGCTATATCACACGAGGCAGCTCTGCAGACAGCCGCACAGGGCACTGCAAGTACGATGACCGTATCACTATGATGCCGGTCATTTCAGCAGCTGGAACAGCTGGTCTACCACTCTTCGTTTTTAAGGGGAAGCGTATGCCGTATAGGACAGGATTAAGAGATGGGACGGTCGTGTATGAAACGCCGGCAAGTAGGCTGCCACACAGGGCAGTTGTGGCCCTCCGCGCAGAGCTAGGGGGAGTGGACTCCGACATTTTTGTGAACTGGGCTTGCGTCTTTGTGGAAAGTATACAGGACCTCCTAAAGGACGGTCGAAAAGTTCTACTAGTGTATGATGGATATCGATCTCATTTATCTCTCCGCGTTCTGGAATTCTTTCATGAGAGAAATGTGGTCGTGTATGCTTTGCCCGCCCATACATCAGGCAAAACACAGCCTCTTGACTGTGTGGTGTTTGGTGCGTTTAAGAGAAAGCTGAATAATGTGTTTATAAACATTGGTATGGCAGACAATATTGAGATCGATGTATTTGACATTTGCTCAATAATCACTGAGGCGTACGACGACACATTTATAAGTGGTAACATTAAGGCCGCCTTTAAGCGGTCTGGTATTTGGCCTCTGGACATGCACCGGCTGCTGTCCGTGCCACGACCCAGATCTCCAGCTGACAGTAATGAGATTCTGGGTTGTGAGCAACTGGAAGAGCTTTTCAAGAACAAGCAAGCAGAGATACGAAATACTGTTTTGGGAGAGACCGCTATCCTTAAACCACACGGGTACGTGGACACGACTTTCGGGGAGGTCATGACGTCAAGTAATGTGCTTTCATTGGTGAGAGCGGGGGCGAACAGGCGCCATGCTGCGCGGAACAGTGCTAAAATTTCTGCGCGAAAGAAAGGACTGGAGGAAGCGCGCAAGCTAGAAGCGAAGCGAAAACGATCCGAGCTGTTGTCAGAGTATGTATGCACGCGTCGCGCGACACTCTGCTGTGAAACTGTACGGGATTACAGGAAAAGGGTGCGTCCTTTGCATGTTAGGCGTGCAGTTGCCCGATATCGCACCGCCAATGCCCGCGGACAACAGCAATAAAACACACTCCAGTCCAGCGCCACGGTCCTCCACCGCTGCTACGCCCTGCCCGGCGCGACCCCATTTTGCACTGCAACACTGCACATGCCCCGCTCCCAGTGTTTCCCCATGCGCCGCGCCTGCAAGTCCCCTTCGGATCGCCCTTCCCCCCTCTTTTACATGAACGTCGGCGCCGGGCATGCCCCCAACAGGGTTTCCACTGGTTCACTCGATGACGTGGCATACAAATTTGTTATATTTTTCGTTGGTTTGATTGGGCCAAATTAACCTGGTGACCGATCTTTAGGCACGAAGTCGTTTTTTCAAGGCCCTTTTTGTTTCGTAAACTGCGAGAATATGGTTTTGATTTCGAGCTTTTGGAGAAAAACAGCGTGATTCACCGGTCTTTCAAGAAGCGAACCACACCAAAATGTCCGTGAATGACCAATCAATTCTACTTTTGATTTTATTTTCTTCGCAAGTGACCGATAATTAGGGCAACCCTCCTTTACAGTAGTAATGGCATAGTACAGTGCATTGCACAATAGAGTACAGTAGTACAGTAGGATGGACAATGTCCGAGACCCCGCGACCTCGCTTATTTAAGCGACGGCGCCGGGCAATGACAGTAAACAGTCAAGGATCTTTTGGGAACGGATTTCCGTCGACGGTGCGACACCGCGGGTCAAGACAAGCCTCAGACTTAGGTGACATTGTCGGCATCTGTCTTGCGACTTTTCCATAGCTCTATTGCCTTTACCATTTTCTTCTCCTTTTCTCCGTCTTTGCGACTACGCGGGTTAAGACTAGCCTCTAGCCTAGGCGTTCCTCTGTCGCTCGACTTTTCTACTGTTTTCTCTATTACATTTTTCCATCTGTCGTTGTGACTACGCGGGCTAAGACTGGCCCCTAGCCTGGGCTTATTACTGTCGCACGACCTATTTCTCTCTCCCTACGTTGTGACGATTGTCAAGTCGCGGGCTACGAGAAGCCTCTAGCGTTGGCGGCACTATTGACGTCTGTCCCGCTCGTTCCCTCTAGGAGCGTCCGCTACTCGGCGCTCCGCCCATTTCTGACACTAGTCTGTAAGCTCTGGTTCTCCCCTGTTTTGTGTGTTCTTACACAACCCCTTCCAGTGCAGGTCCCATTCCGGGTCCACAGTTTGACCAGTTCGTCGTGCTTTCACAGTCGGCCGACGTACTTCCCCTTTGCTCTACCACCGTCCCGATCTACCGCGGGACACCCCCTATTGGTTGTTACCTCTTCCTCGAGCTAGCTC